GTGTGCCTAATACATTTCTTTATGCAATTCATGTTGTACTATTTGTTTTGATTTTGTGATTTCTAATCTTAGAGAGATTAGCAACACACTTTTTTTTTTACATACTTATATCTCTTATATCTTTTTTCCACTCTGTGTCACTCACATATTATCCCCACCCCACCACCATACCACACTTACAGATTATTGTCAGAATATAAAGACATTGCTATGCTCCTTGTTTTAGCCTTTTCCCATGTGCCTTTTGTACCAGTTACTGTTTTGCTCTTCCCGTTTTTCTTATCAGTAATAGCTATGTTCCCTAATGTTTCCCATCTTCCCTAATTACCTTGTGTGTTTCTGGCCTTCATCTCCCCATAGTTTTTTTTCCGCATCAACCTGTTTCTTGTTTACTGTGCATCCTTTTCCTTATGTTACATCTTTGTTTCCTAGCTCCCAGGGTTTTCCAGGCATTTCCGTGTGTTCTTATGGCTTTTGGTTTACCTTCAATAAAGGATTATATTCACTGGAACCTGCCTGTCTAAGAGTCTGCATTAAGGGTCCTCAGTCTTCACCAAATCTGACAGACAGGAATACTGCACAATCTGGATCTAACATGTCTTCTTGCACTGGTGTGGTTACCTGCAACTGCCGGGGCACTGACAGTATCTAAAGCATGCGTCATGGTGTTGGCAAACAGAGTAGCATCTTCTTTACTGCCAAAATTTAGCCCCCACACCTGCTTGTGATCACGCCACTGATGGAAATTTGGTGTGGCTTGATTATACTTCATTCCTTTGATAATGGGACAATTGATCACCACCTGATGAAAACAGGAAGCGAAGGATAGTAAATGTAAATTAAATATAAAGTTAGTCAGGCCAGAAGTAAATTTGTTTAAATATATAATTATATGTGAGATCATATTGCTGATGCTTGGTCCACAGTAGATTGTAATATGCATGGAATAAACCAATACATGTGGTGGGTATTCATCTGCTAATTGTAAAGTCTGTGCAAGGTGAACAGAATACACTGTGTGTCTCAAAGCGTATATACATACACACACACACACACA